ATCCCAGCTTTTTAACTCTTTACGGTGGCCAATTTACAATTTCAACTTAGTTGATAAAACAAAATTATCTTGTTACCCCCACCGACGCAGCACCACAGTTTCTTTAGAAACTTACCCCCTTTATTCAAATAGGGAAGTGATGAATGGAGATGATAAACTTATACGAACAGAAGATATAAGGACATGGGCACCATTTCCAATGTTGTGAGAGCGCTAGAGCCAGCTTTTAATCGAGGTCTCTTCCGATGCTTTAAAATCCTCCTTCATCTTTGTAACACTAGATAAACATGTACTGAATCCTCACTGAACACTTCAACAAGGGAACTTCACTTCGCCGCTTGTATGTGGAGTGGATTCATTCTTCGATTGAACGCTGGTGAGATTCTCTCCGCCAGCTGTCTCAATCGCTAGAAGATCAACTACGGGCAGAACAGCGAATGGTGCAAATTTCCTGGAATCTACGGTATCGAGCCATGCGGCCTTACAACTGTATCCCAATTTTGTTTTTTGAGAATTGAAAAAAATACTGTATCGGTCCTTTTCGAGATGCCGCTTTAACACCTAAGATCGAAAAGGCGGAATAGACGGCCTACATGGTCAATGTCAACGATTTATTACAATGATATACTAAGATTTTGCTTTATTTCTGCTCCATAAGACAAAATATTGTCCTTTACGCTTCTTCATTCTTCAATTATCGAGTTCAATACTCAAGTTCAGCTCCACTCAAGACAGTTTTGGATCAATTGAAAACAATTAGGTCCACTGCAGTTTCGTGTGAGTTGATATAGCGAGTATTATGATTAACTGAATTATACGGGCGTATTTAGATCAGTCTCTACTTATGATCTATAGGAGGAAAGACTCATAGATGACGTCTCAACAAACAACATTTTACTTTTTATTACATGAAATAGATAGATTACATGTTGCCTCGCATTCTTTCTCTTCCACTCCCCATAATGGTGAAGACGACCACAAAGGCCTCTCAATCGTCATCAGGTATATTTTTGGGCTGTTGTATCTGTTGTAGTCCCTCTATCTACGTCCAGGTCTAGCCGGCTGCCTTTACTCGCCTCGTTCCGTTTCCGCTTTCCTGACCGTAAGTCATACGAGTCCGTCGGACGAGGGCTTCCCGAAGCGGTTGACCAGAAAAGAGTCCACAATCTAACCTGCCGGTCGTGATGGAATTGAAATGGGGAAAGAAAAGTTGCTTTCCTCAG